TGATTAAAAAATTTTCTAACCAGTTAGTTGGAAAGTTGTCAACTATTTGGTTTTCCAACTAATGATTTGGAACACTATAGAGACCTATTTCTCTGGTGAACTGCGATGCTAAGATCTTTATGAAAATTATAGTCACCAGATTAAATAAAATCTATAACTTGGTAATTCTGGTACACCAACAAGGTTTTGTTTCAAAGAGATCAATTATAGACGCAGTACTAGATGCGATTACAGTAATGAGGAATTAAACCGATTTTACTAAGCATCTTAGTAGACCAGCAAAAAGCTTTTGCATACCTTCCTACAACTAGTCCTTGAAAAGATGAACTTTAATCTGAAATTTAGAAATTTGGTGGGGAATCTATTCACCAACCAAGAGGCCTATATATTTGAATCAGGCATGCTTTCAGGGCCATTTAGAGTTGGAAAAGGGGTTAGACAAAAGGACCCCCTTTCACTATTACTATACATTCTAGCCTTTAAGCCCTTACTCCAGGCTATTGATAGAGATATTCAAGGTATACTCTCCTACAATCAGACATTCAAATCTATAGCCTATACAGATAACTTTACAATAGAGGTTAGGAGCTCATCAGACTGGCTGGAGATACATAGACTGTTTGACTTATATGAAAAAGCTTCAAGTGCAAGAATTAACAACCAGAAAACACAAATTGTTCCACTAACAATAATGGTAAGAAGAGCAAACCTCCCAGACACAATTGATTTTAAGGTTATAGAAGAATCTGATACCTTTTACAGGTCAAAAGTATAAATATCTATAAATATCAAATACCCGATAGCTAATGATTACTAACTATTTGCACCAAAAATCTGATCTATATTGGCAATATGTTAAAAAAATATCAGAAGCATATCGGGTAAAAAATAAATATCAGATAAATATCAGGTATCCTGATATTTATTTATGCTTCTGATATGTTTTGACATATTGCCAATATATCGGATTTTTGGCGCAAATAGTTAGCAATTATTAGCTATTGGGTATCTGATATTTATACTTTGGACTTGTATAGGATATGAAATATATACAAATGGGCAACCCCAAACTCAAAGACATACTTTCCAAACTTGCAGCAAGAAATCTTTTCTTCAAAGGAAGGATCCTAATTACGAAATCACTAATACTTTCTTGCATCTGGTACATAGCCTATATTCTCCCTCTGAGCAAAAAACAAATATCAGAATAATAGCTCTATGGACCAAGGAAAACTTCAAAATGCTTCCAAGATATTCAACCTACTTTACTAGATTTTTGATTTTTTAAAAATATTGTTACAATAAAGTTAATATAAATATAGTTAAAATATTGTTAAT